GGGGGTGTTCAGTCCAGGATTTTGGGAATTCCCCAAATCTGCTAGGGCTCCCATCAGCATTCCCATGAAATCAGATCCGTTCTGGATGGTGATGGGAGCCCCGGCGCCGTTGTCCACGAAGATGGAGGTGTACTGCCCCGCCTGCAGGGAGAAGGGAGAAAACAGGGAAGAGCTGACACATTCCAGAGGGAAAACAAGGAGCAATCCCATCGGGGCAGCAGGAATTCAGCCCAGCAGCCGGACTGGGGTTGATCTGGTGGAGGAGATTTGGTGTCGTTTTTATGGAGCAAATCCTTCCTGCCCTGGCGGCTTTTTGGGTGAAGGGGGAAATTCAATTTGGCATCTTGGCAATGCCGGGGTGGAGCTGGGAAAGGGAAAGATCTTCAAAATTTATTATAAATTTATTAGAAATTTATATTAAAATCAATAACAATTTATTGGAAATATTGAGTTGTTCATAGAGGGAAGCTGCTTCCTGTGCCTCCAATTCCAAATGAGAAACCCAAGTCAAGTTTTTCCTCCTGATCCTGCCCCAGGCGAGGAATTTCCCTTCCTTAAATTCAGAAAAAAGGTTCCTAAATGCTCCCCCACCCCCAGGGGAGTGTCCAGCCCGACCATCCCATGTCCTGCCCAGAAATTTGGGGCAAAAATTCCCAATTTTCAGGGCCTCACCTGCAGCTGCAGCAACCCATGGACATAAATAGTGAAGATTTTGCTGTTGCTTTCCAGCCCAGCAATGACTTCCAAGGACCTAAAAGAAGAAATAAACAGATTAAACCCCACAGTTGTGTGTGTAAGGATAATTTTCCCTCAATTTCCCTGGAAATCAGAGCAGCTGGAGCAAAAAGGTGAATTTTGTCTGGATTTTTGATGTTTGGCAGGGTTTAAAGTCAGGTTGGAGCAAGCTGGGATGGAGAAAGGTGGCCCATGGGAAGGAGATGATCTTTAAGGTCCATCCCATAATTCCATAATTCTGTAATTCCATGATTCCATAATTCCATTACTCCATAGTTCCATGACTCCATAATTTCATCATTCCATAATTTCATAATTTCATAATTATATTATTTCATAATTCCATTATTCCATAATTCCACAATTCCATTATTCCATAATTCCATGATTCCAGCTGCCTTAAAAGTAAATCAGGAGCAGCTTTTCCTTACTGCAGGAATGATGGAAAATCCACAGAACCTCAGGACTTTGGACACAGAACTCAGCTGGAGGCAGGACTGGGAGCCACCATTTCCCAGAGACTTCTCCAGGGTCCTGTCCTCTCTATTCCCACCCGGAGCAGGCACTGAAAATCCCTTTGGATCCACCTCCATCCCAGTTTGATGAGCAGCACAATGGTTTGGATCTGTTCCAAAATTCCCTTTCTTTTCCAGGGATGGAAGGTTTGTTCCACCCAAACCACGAATTTCCGCATGAGAAAGGACAAATTTTGTAATTTTGGGGAGGATTTTGAAATCAGGGATCAGGGAAAAGCAACAGAAAAAAAAAATCTTTCCATAATTGTCCCACAGCTCAAAATCCAGGGAGAGCGCCACATCAGCTTTTGGATCAGGGAGAGCCGCTCCCTGTGGAATTCCCAATTCCCAAGCCAAATTCAGGTTTTTGGGCAGGTCCTTGGGACAGCAACAACCAGCACAGCCTGGTTAAACTCGGTTTTAAGCTCCCAGCTCCTCCTCCCTCCCTGCCCGCAGTTGCTTTTCCTTCTTTTCCCAGTCAAACCAACTCCTTTCCTCCTTTCTTTATTTCTTTTTGAGTGGCAAGTTCCAGCGTGTTTTTCCCAGGATAAATGAAAAGCGGGAGCCACTTGGCACCTCCTCAGCCAAGGCTGTGTCACATCCTGCTCAAATCCTGCCTGCAGTGGGGAATTCCCAGCACTCCAGTTCCCATGGCCCATCCCAAAGCCTTGGGGGCTCTTCCAGCTCCATGTGGGGATGGATGGATGGATGGATGGATGTGTGTCCAGCCAGGTTCCCATCCCTGCTGCCACCTCCTTCCATCCCAGCCGTGCTCTGCTGGCACTGGGATCTGTCCCAAACCCATCCTGATCACTCCCCCTGCTGTGGGATTGGTCCCAAATCCATCCTGGGATAAAACAGCCTCCAAGGAGATTCCAGTGGTTCCTGTCTTCTCCTGGACTTCCCACCCCTCTTTCCCTGACTCCTGAGGGATTTTCAAGAGTCCAGAGAAACCTGAGAGAGGTTTTCGATTTATCCCAAAACCCGATGTCCAGTCCAGCTCCCAAAAAAGCCTTGGAAGTGCTGAGGGAGCCGCTCTGGCCGCAGATTTCTGGGATTTGGGGGATTCAAGTGGCACCTGTGGAGTGGATTAATGGATCTGTGGACTTCTGGAGGTGCTCAGGGTGATTAAATATTACTGTAAATAACAATTCATTTATAGTTATTTGGACATTATTTCTCACTAGAAATAATAATAATTTGGGGCATTATTTTATGTTTAGGTGATGAAACATTACTGGAAATAACAATTTATTAATAATTATTTGGTCATTATCACTATCAATAATAGCAATTTGAGTGCATTATTTTATATTCAGGTGATGAAACACTACTGGAAATAACAATTTAGAATATTTCATAGTGATGGTTATAAATAATAGCAGTTCTTAGGTGATTAACACTGAGAGGTTAAAGCTCAGAATTAAAACACCTAAAGCCTGAGGGATACTCTGCAGAACAGCTCCACAAAAATTTATGATTTAAAATCCATTTTTGGTGAACTTCATCTTCCACAGGTGGCTGAAATATTAGGAAATATTAGGAAATATTAGAAAATATTAGGAAATATTAGGAAATATTAGGAAATATTAGGAAATATTAGGAAATATTAGGAAATATTAGGAAATATTAGGAAATATTAGGAAATAAATATGGAAACCTTGAGGAGAAGGATCCCAGATGCCCCTGGAATGACTCACGTGTATCTGTGGCACAGGGACTCGATGCAGATCAGCACCCGCACATTGTCCCTGGCTCGGAGCTGCACTTTGCTCTTCAGCTCGCTGTGGTCTGGGAAAAACAGTGGGAAAAATGTCAGCATTCCCACAAATCCTGGAATCTGGGCTCCAGAGGGACACCAGCAGCCTTGGGATGTCCGCATTTGGGGCTGCAGAAGGTGCCAGAAGGTTCCTCTATATCTGATGGAGCCAAAGCCAGCAGATCCAAGGTGGATCCACCTCTGGCCATCAGCGACAGAATCTCTGGGATAATGGATTCCAAAAGGGGATCCAAGGTGGATCCATCAGTGGTGGAATCTCTGGGATAACAGATTTAAAAAGGGGATCCATCCCTGGCCATCTGCGGCAGAACCTCTGGAATATCCGATTTTAAAAGGCACAGAAGGGAGGAGTGGGAATGTGGGGGAAGAGATGCTCCAGCAGGGAAAACCCATGGAAAGCCTGCCTGGATGAAGTTCCACCCCAACATCTGCCTTTTTTTCTGCAGGTTCTGTGGAAGGCAGAGCTCCCATGGATCAATCCCTGCTCCGTGGGGAATGCAGATTTTTGGCACACCCTGAGCAGCCTTTGGGGCTCCCTGTGGAAGGACCCAGCCCTGAGGTGGTGGTGCCATATCCAGGTGTTCGCTGGCTGCTCTCCCGGGACTCTCCAGGGGATCTCCGGGGGCTCTCTGGGGACTCTCTGGGGACTCTCTGGGGACTCTCCAGGTGCTCTCCGGGGGCTCGCCGGGGGCTCTCTGGGGGCTCTCTGGGGACTCTCTGGGGGTTCTCCGGGGGCTCCAGGCAGCACTCACCGATGTGGACGTTGGCCGAGAACTGGTAGATGCCGCCCACGGGGGCGGTGAAACGCCCGGTGGCCGCGTTCAGTCCCGAGCCCCGCAGGAAGGCGCCCTTGGCCAGGGGCTGCCGAGAGAAAACACAGCTGAGTGCCGGGGGATGATCCCAAATCCCCGGGCTGATCCCAATCCCAAATCCCTGCCTGATCCCAAATCCCTGGACTGATCTCGAATCCTGAATCCCAAATCTCTGGGCTGATCCCGAATCCTGAATCCCAAATCTCTGGGCTGATCCTGAATCCCCATGCTGATCCCAAATTCCTGAGCTGATCCCAAATCCCTGGGCTGATCCTGAACCCCTGGGTTGATCCCAAACCCTGAATCCCAAATGCACAGGCTGATCCCGAATCCCCAGGCTGTTTATGAATCTTAAATCCCCAGGCTGACCCTGAATCTCAAATCCCTGGGCTGCTCCCGAATCCATCCCTGGGCTGATCCTGAAACCATCCCCGGGCTGATCCTGAATCCTGAATCCCCAGGCTGATCCTGAATCCCTGGGCTGCTCCCAGATCCATCCCTGGGCTGCTCCTGGCTCTGAATTCCCCTTTTCCAGAGGCACAAGCCAAAACCAGACACGTCTTGTCCCAGGCTGCCGTGCCAGCTTGGCATCCAGGGCCTCTCCAGCAGCTCCGAGCCAGGAAAAATTAGGAAGGAGTTGGGCATCCCACCCCTGAGGCATGGGAAGCAGCTCCCACCCTGGGATGGCTTAATTAGTCCCATTTTCCCTGCTAATTAATGAGGCAGCAGCTCCACTCCAGCCCTGCCCATGCCTCAGGGCTGAGCCTGCCTGGCTGCCAAGCCAAGCTGCCAAAATTTGGGAAAAATCCAGGAATGCGGCTTATTTGGGGAAGAAGCACTGCCTGCAGTGCTGCAGCTGCCGGAGCGGCAGCAGGAAAACATCCCGAAGGACGGGATTGTCCCTGGCACGTTCCCGCCTCAAACCCTTTCTGCCACCTCGAAAACACCCCCAAGGGCCTCGGGGACCCCAAAATCCAGGAGAAGTAAACGATCAAATCATTATTTGGGTTTTGTTCTTGCTTGTCCTAAAATTTATGCTGCAAATTCAGAGCCCGTTCGCCACTGGAACGGTTTCTTCCAAGATTTAATATCAGAAATTTCATATTTAACGTTAGATTTAGTATTTGGCAGCTTGTTGTGGCCATGATTAGAATGACTCTTGATTTAATGGTAATTCAGTTATAGAGGTAATATTGATTAGGTCATTAATATGAGACTATTTATAGAATTTAAGCATCAGAGCTGGCTCACCAAACAAAATCCAGGATTTATTTGGGCTCCCAAATTTATAATCAGTGGTTTCCGTCTGCCTCTGACAATCTACGTTGGAATTTTACTTTGGATCCTTCAGATCCTGCTCATTCCAAACCTAGACAAGTCTTCCTCCATCAATAATTAAAAGAAATTATAAAATAATTGTAATTATTTAAATCATTAAAATTAGAAACCTGGCTGCTCTTGGAGCTGGGATCACATGAAAAACTCTGGGAGATCCTGCTGGGCTGAAGAGAGGGAGAAATCCTGGCTTGGGTTTGTCAGGAAGTGCCCACTTCAGCCACAAAATCATGGAATATCCCAGGCTGGAAGGACCCACAGGATCACGGATCCCTGCCCAGCCATCCCAAAATCCCAGCCTGGCGTCCCTGGGAGCGACATCCAGACCCTCCCGGAGGTCTCAGGGCTGTGCCAAATCCCTGGGGAGCCTGGGAACAGCCCCAGCACCCTCCAGATGAGGAATCTTTCCCTGAAATCCATCCTGAAACAGCTCCAGCATTGCCTGGGTCCTGTCCCTGGCACGGAGAGATCGGAGCTGCCCCTCGGGAAGAGCTGCAGACCCCAAAATCTCCTCCAAGCGCCCTCATCCCCTCCAGATCCTTCCCCATGGAGACGGGGAGAATCCACCAGGGTGGACCCAGCAGTGACAGAACCTGCAGAAAACGGGATTTAAAAAGGGGATCCAAGGAGGATCCAGCAGTGACAGAACCTTGGGAATATCAGATTTAAAAGGGGATCCAAGGAGGATCCAGCAGTGACAGAACCTTGGGAATATCAGATTTAAAAGGGGATCCAAGGTGGATCCAGCAGTGATGAACTTTGGGAATAATGGATTTAAAAAGGGGTTCCAAGGTGGATTCAGCAGTGACAGAACCTTTGGAAGATCAGAATTAAAAGGGGATCCAAGGTGGATCCACCTCTGGCCCTCCTTTGGACACTTTCTCCTGGATTTTTCTCTTCCTTTCAGCCCAAGAGGAGTTTCTGGGATGAGCCAGGAAGCTCCACAGAGCCGAGAAAGGAGCTGGAGCCTCTCCACACCCCGGCTAACCCTGGAATTGCTCCTCACCGACTGGAAATTCTGCAGTTCCACCAAGGTCTTCTTGTCCACCACCACGTGGCCCTTGAGTTTGCAGTGGAACGCCTGCTCCACGCGCCGGCGCCATGGCAGCGGCTCCAGGGCCGGCAGCTGCTCCAGGGCCGGCAGCGGGCTGGCACGGGATGGAACGGCCAGGGAGGCTCTCTGCTCCATGGCTTCTGGGGAATGAAGGGGAAAAAGGGAATAAAATCTTCATTTAAGGGTCTGGGATGGGCTGAAATGGCCAGGGAGGCTCTCTGCTCCGTGGTTTCTGGGGGAAAAGGGAATAAAGGGAATAAAGGGAATAAAACCCTAATTTAGGGGCCTGGGGTGGTCAGGGAGGCTTGGTGCTCAGTGGCTTCTGAGGAATAAAGGGAACAAAATGAAATAAAATCTTCATTAAAGGGCCTGGGATGGGCCAGAATGGCCAGGGAGGCTCAGTGCTCCATGGTTTCTGGGAAATAAAGGGAATAAAACCCTAATTTAAGGGCCTGGGATGGCCAGGGAGAATCACTGCTCCATGGCTTCTGAGGGATAAAGGGCAATAAAAGGGAATAAAATGAAATTAAATCTTCATTTAAGGACCCAGGACAAACCAAAATGGCCAGGGATGCCCAGTGCTTGATGGCTTCTGGGGGAAAAGGGAATAAAGGGAATAAAATGAAATAAGAACTTAATTTAACGCCCTGGGGTGGTTGGGGAGGCTTGGTGCTCCACGGCTTCTGGCAGGAATGGGAATAAAGAGAATAAAAGGGAATAAAACCTTCATTTAAGGGTCTGGGGTGGGCTGAAATGACCGGGGAGGGTCTCTGCTCCATGGCTTCTAGGGAATAAAGGGAATAAACCCCTAATTTAAGGGCCTGGGATGGTCAGAAGGCTCAGTGCTCCATGGCTTCTGAGGGATAAAGGGCAATAGAGGGAATAAAATGAAGTAAAACCCTAATTTAAGGGCCTGGGGTGGGCTGAAATGGCTGGGGATGCCCAGTGCTCAATGGCTTGCAAGGGGAAAAGGCAATAGAAGGAATAAAATGAAATAAACCCCTCCTTTAAGGGCCTGGCCTATGAAGCCGTTGATGGGTTGGAATTCTGCGCTCAGATCTCCCTAGCAGCCCTGGGGGAGCAGTTCTGGTTGCCAGGAGATGCTTTAGGGTGAAACTGGTGCTAGATTTGTGCCGGTGCTTCACCAAAACAAAGCTTTTCCAGCCTTTAATCACCTTTACCTTCAACATCCTACAAAATCTTTGAAAGTCGTTCACCTTTTAGGATCTCCTTGAACTCCTGCAGAAGAACTTCCCTGGTGACTTCGGCCCCGGGGGCTCCTGGAGGCCCCTGAGGCCCAGGAGGTCCTGGCGGCCCCACCAGGCCTCGCTGAGGGAACAAACAAAGGAAAATCTGGGATTAAAACCTGGGAATTGTGGAAAATCCTACAGGGACACCAGCAGCGTCAGGGGGGCTGTTCCCAGCAAATTCCTGTTTCCTCCAATTGACTGCACAGAGGGAAATTGTTAAAGGAAGCCAAGATTCCTTTAGGAATTCCTTTAGATTCAAAGTGCTGCATGGTCAGGTGTCACTCAGTTCATTCATTTGAAATAATTTAATTATTTCATATATTATATTATATTATATTATATTATATTATATTATATTATATTATATTATATTACGTTACGTTACGTTACGTTACGTTACGTTATATTATGTGATATTATGAGATATCATATTATATTATATTGTGTGATATTATATGATACAATATGATATCATATTGTGTTATGTTATGTTATATTATATTATATTCTTTATTATAATTTATTATATTATTATTTAATTTAAAATTATTTAACAATCATTTGTCCACAACTTGATTAATTTATCCTTTGGGATATGTGGACTTTATCTCCTGGAAAGGAGAAGAAAAAGATGGATTTTATTCTGACTGAGCGGGAAAATCACCCAAACCAAGGCCCAGTCCAAATTCCCACATCTTCTCTCTCAAGGCTCCGACTTCTCCAAAAACGGAGAAATTCAACAGCAGAAATGGAACCTTGGTACTCCCTGGGCTGGGAAAAGCTGGAACCCTGAGGATGAGGAGCAGGAAGGGGAACCGTGGAGTGCTGATCCTACCAATTTCTTGTCTTTCCCTTTGCATCTCCTCTTGGAATTGCTGCCGTCGTCAGGGCGGTGCACGAAGGAGATCCAGGTGCGCCGGGGGTCCGTGATCCGCAGCTCGGGAGACTCCGGGAGCTGCCGAGACACCGGCACAGGGCTGATGGCTCTGCCTGGCCCCAGGGCTGCAAAAACCCAGCCCAGGAGGGATCGGGAGGAGCTAAGAGCTCTGAGATTCCCTCAGAAACCTTTTCCCAGCTGCTGGGATTCCCATTCCTCCTATAATCCTTGGAAATTCCATGGAAAACCCACCCAGATGCCAGGGATTGTTCCCTGCTGGCACCTGGCTGTTATCAGCCGGCTCAAACGAGAGATTGAAACACTCAGAAAGTCTTGGAATGCACCCCAAATTCCCAATCCTGGCCAGCAGTGGGACAAGGGGGCCCAGAGAGGAAAACGCGGCTCCCAGCAAGGCACAAAATCCACAAAATCCACAAAATCCACAGAAAATTGGGAAATGGAAGTGCCTGGCCCATTCCTGCAGCCTGGAAATGTCTGGGAGGAATTTTCCAGAGGAGCTCAGACACTGCGGGGCCTGGATTTGGATCCCTTCTGGATAAATTCTGGATTGGGATTCCTTCTGGATAAATTGTGTGTCTGGATATTTTCTGGATAAATTCTGGATTTCAAGATTTCCTGGATAAATTCTGAAATAGGATCCCTTCTGGATAAATTCTGGATTTGGATCCCTTCTGGATAAGTCCTGGACCTGGATCCTTCCTGGATCCATTCTGGATTTGGATCCCTTTGGATCCGTTCTGGCTAGAAGGGATTTCTAATTGAGGGAACTCGGTTCTGTCTCTAAGGTTGCACCCGGTGCCCTCCAAGGCGCCCCCAAAGTGAACCCAAATCTCCCAAAGCATCCAAAAGAATCCCGGGATCAGCTAGGCTGGGATCGCAGCCTGGCCCCTCTGCAGGGGCAGCATTGGAGGAGTTTTAGGGGAGAACCTCAGGAATTCCGCAAGGCCACAGAGCCCTGTGGCACATCCAAAAAAACCAGCGGGAAAACCCGCCCGTTTGAGGGGGAACGGATGGAAAACAGGGACTTGACAGGGATTTTTTGTTTTTAATGGAATTTGGCTGGAGCAGAAGGGTTTGGAGGCCCAAACCTGCCCAGCCTGAACCAATTACCCGGGATATTCCTGGGGCAGCGCAATTGTTCCCAAACTCGGGGATTGTCGGCATTCCCGGTTTGTCCCTGGTTGCCATGGCAGCTGCCAGCCCCAATGGCGCTGATCAAAGGCTGGCCCGGAGGTCACCCCATGGGGACATTTCTGTGTCACCCTGAGGGGACATTTCTGTCACCCCATGGGGACATTTCTGTGTCACCCTGAGGGGACATTTCTGTCATCCCATGGGGACATTTCTGTGTCACCCCGAGGGGACATTTCTGTGTCACCCCATGGGGACATTTCTGTGTCACCCCATGGGGACATTTCTGTCACCCCATGGGGACATTTCTGTGTCACCCCATGGGGACATTTCTGTGTCACCAGGGTGGCACTGAGGGCTGAGGGTGATGGGGATTCCCTCCCTCCTCACTGCCCTTCCCCTCCCAATCCCGAAACCTGCTCTGAATTCCCAAAACCTGCTGTGAATTCCCCAAACCCCTCCTCTATTCCCAAAAATCCCATGGAAACGCTCATCCCAAAGGATCCTGAACAACCCCCTGGAAGTTTTCTGCTCTTTCCAGATTCCTTTCCTGCTCTGAATTCCCCAAACCCCCTGTGATTCCCAAAGATCCCATAAAAATATTCATCCTAAAGGACTCTGGACAACTCCTTGGAAGATTTCTCACTGCCCTTCCTGCTCCCGACCCCAAAACCTGCTCCGAATTCCCAATCCCCTCCTCTATTCCCAATAATCCCATGGAAACACTCATCCCAAAGGATCCTGAACAACCCCCTGGAAGTTCTCTGCCGTTCCCAGCCTGGGGGAACCCCCAAAATTAACCCGAGCTGGAAGCAGCCGGGGGAGGCAGGAAAACATCCCGGGAATGTTCCGGAACGCACCTTGGGATGCTCCTCGCTGTTGGCCAGGGACGTGTTCCGGGGCTCGGGCGGTTCCTTCCTGCCCCTCCTGGCGCCGGGGGCGCGGGGCCCCAGCTGCAGGCACAGCTGGAGGCACAGCTGGAGACACAGTAGCACCCACAGCAGCGGGGCCCGGCAGCGCCCCATGCTGCTCCCCAAATCCCCAAAATGACAACCAACCGGGACAGGATCCTGGGAAAAATGGATCTGTGTCCAGAAAATCCCAATGAAACAGGTCAGGATCCTGGGAAAAACGGATCTGTGTCCAGAAAATCCCAATGAAAGGATCAGGATCCTGGGAAAAATGGATTTGTGTGCAGAAAATCCCAATGAACCGGGTCAGGATCAAGGGAAAACTGGATTTGTGTCCCAAAAATCCCAATGAAAGGATCAGGATCCTGGGAAAACTGGATTTGTGTCCCAAAAATCCCAATGAAACAGGTCAGGATCAAGGGAAACTGGATTTGTGTCCTGAAAAGCCAAGATGGCCAGGTCAGGATCAAGGGAAAAACAGATTTGTGTCCCAAAAATTCCAATGAAATGGAAAAAATGGATTTGTGTCCAAAAATGGATTTGTGTCCCGAAAATCCAAATTGGCCGGGTCAGGACCAAGGCAAAAATGGATTTCTGTCCAAAAAGTCCGAATTAAGTGGGTCAGAATCCAGGAAAAACCGGATTTGTGTGTGGAAAATTGGAATGAATTGGGTCAGGATGAAGAAACCAGGTGTGAAATCCTCCAGGAGGGAGAAAAAGCCAGATCTGTGTCCGGAAAATCTGAACGAACCGGGTCAGGATCAAGGGAAAATCGGATTTGTGTCCGAAAAATACGAATTTATTAGATCAGGATCAAGGAGTCAGGTGTAAGATCCTTTGACTAAAAAAACTGGATTTGTGTCCAAAAAAATCCAAATTAACCAGGTCAGGATCCAGGAGCCAGGTGCAAAATGGTTCAACAGCAATAAAAAATCAGATTTGTCTTTAAAATAAATCCAGAATTGACCAGCTGAGAGGGATCCAAGCAGTCACCAATAAAAAAAACAGATTTGTCTCCAAAAAAATCCAAATTTACTCGGTCAGGATCAAGGAGCCAGGTGCAAAATCCTACAAGAAAAACTGGATTTGTCTCTAGAAAGAAATCCAAATTAACCAGGTGAGGAGGACACAAGCAGATTTGTCTCCAAAAAAAAAAAAAATTCCAAATTTCAGGAAGTTCTAAGCAGCCGGGTGCAAAATCCTTCAAAAAAATTCGGATTTGTGTCCAAAAAAATCCAACTTCCAGAAGGATCCGAGCAACTCCTTGGGATGGAAAAGGTGGAGATGAATTTGTTTGGAATTCTGGATCTCCCGGGAGAAGGAGCTAAGTCCACGGCGCTTCCCAGAAATCCCAGAGGCCCTGGAAGCGCTGCCGCCCCCGGGAGGGGCTGCTCTGGCCCCCAAAACCGGCTTGAAACCGGTTTTAAAGGCTCTCAGCCCCCCCAAAATCGGGCTTGAAACCGGTTTTATTCTGCCCCCCTAAATCGGGTTTGAAACTGGTTTTACTCTGCCCCTTCTGACCCCTTTAATCCGGCTTGAGACCGGTTTTACTCTGCTCCCCCCAAATCGGATTTAAAACCGGTTTCACTCAGCCCCCCTAAATCGGGATTGAAACTGGTTTTAAAGGCGCTCAGCGCCCCCAAACGGGGCTTGTAACTGGTTTTACCCTGCCCCTTCTGCGCCCCGGCTCGGGTTTAGAACCGGTTTTAACTCCTGGAGCTGCAGAGATCCGAGCGCCGCGGGCAGAGCTGAGCCCGAGCTCAGCCGGAGATTTCCCCCACCCCATCCATTCCCTCTGGAATTCTGCTGCTCCGGGGATAATTCCTCATCCTCGCCTCTCGGCATTCCAGGGAATTGGAATCCAGGGAAACGCGAGCATCCCAGCTCAGCCTTGTAAGGAGAAAACAAATCCCTCACACCCCAAAAACCAAATCCCTCAAATCCCAAAAAACAAATCCCTCAAATCCCAAAAATTCAGTCGGGGAGAAGCAGAACCTCCGCGGGTGTTCCCGAGTCCATGAGGAGCAGGTGAAGTTTGCCCGAGGTTTTTTCTCCTTTTCCAGCTTTTTCCTCCCTTTTCCCTAAGGATGAGCAGCAAATCCCGAAGCTGTCAGGGGGCAGAACCGCGTGGATTTTGCATCCCAATCCTCCTCCCCAGGCAGAATTCCAGGCAGAATTCCAGGTCCTCCCGAGGCTCTGACTCCTCCCGGCTTCTTCCAGCGCTCCTTTCCCGAAGGAGTTTCCATCAACTCCAAGAAAAGGAGAGGAAAAAAAACAGGGGAAAAAAAGAAAGGAGGAGGGCTCACATACTAATGAGCTGTCAAGCCTCCTCTCCTCACATTCCCATTAAATTCCCAGATAATGGAGCGTGCCGGGAAGATTGGAATCAGCGCCCAGGCCCCGCTCCCGCCCCTTCCTTATCCCGGGGAAATCGCCCTTTTCCTGGGAAGTTTTAACACTCGCCAGGGCTGGAAATCTGTGGCTTGGGATAAACCCCCAGCAGGAGAGGGCGGAATTCCCGCTTGGATAGGGGAAAATTCCCGCTCGGATAGGGGAGAATTCCCACTTGGATAGGGCAGAATTCCCATTTGGATGGGGCAGAATTCCCACTTGGATGGGGCAGAATTCACGCTTGGACAGGGCAGAATTCCTGATTTATTTCCCAGTCTGGGGTGTTCCATATGATTTCCCTTTTGGATAGGGCAGAATTCCCACTTTATTTCCCAGTTTGGAGTGTTCCATCTCCGATTTTCCCAGTTTCCCCCCTTCTGTTTTCCTTACAAAGAGCAGAATTCCCGGATTTTCACCCACCAGTGCTTCCCAAGGGATCTCGGGATGTGCCTGGACACCTTAGATCCCTTCCAGCCCCCACCACCTGCACCAGAGATTCCCATTTTCCCCCCAAAATCCCGACCCTGCTGCAAAGATTTCCCCGGGAGAAAATCCAGGGAATGAGACAAGGTCGAAAATCCCAGGATTTGAAGCTTTTTATGCATCCAACGAGAATAAATAAAATAACAATTCCTTCCTTTCACCGATTCCTTTCCCATCAATTCTGTGATCCAAGGGAAAATTGCCAGCGTGCTTTTCCTTGGATTTTACAGGGGATGGAGGAGGAAGATTTTGTGGATCAGGAGGAAAATTTTGTGGATCAGGGAGAAAATTCTGTGGATCAGGGGGGAAAATTTTGTAGATCAGGAGGAAAATCTTGTGGATGAGGAGGAAAACTCCGGATCTGCGGCTCAGGGAAACTGAGGCACGAAAGAATCCCAGCACAACAGGGAGTAAAAATCTCATTTTTCCCAGCTTTTTTCGCAAGAAATTTTCTTTTTCCAAACTTTTTTTCCCAGAAAAAACCTGGAATTGGGCAAGATGAAAATGCCCTCGGGAGTGCGGCAGGCACGGCAAGGGTTAAGAGCAGCTCCCGCTCACATTCCATGACGAGGACGTGGCTCCCGGGATTTGTTAATAATATTTAACTTTCCCTGGCGCCTTCCCACACTCCGGGCTGGAATTTCCAGGTCGGGCAGACGAGCCGGGATTTGTGGGAGCGCTCCCGATGACAATTTAATGGGATCGATCCCTGCCAGCAGCGGGAACGCCAAATCCCGCCTGGGATTTTGGGAAGATCCATCCCGGATTTGTTCCGGATGCTCCCGGAGGGGTTTGGGAATCGGCCCAAACATTCTTCTCCCGGATTTTGGGTGGGAAGGAGCGAGGCCTCCGATCCGGGAGGGAATTCGGGAATTCTGCTGGGCTTTGGGCAATTCCCGACACCGCAAATCCAGAGCTCCGGGAACCGGGATCCAGCCCGGGAGGAGCGGAAACCTCGCTCCAAGGAAAGCTCAAATCGGATATTTGGGAATTTGGGGGATTTTTCCCACGGGAATGAAGGTTTCAATCGGATATTTGGGAATTTTTTCTCCCAGAAAGGGAGGTTTCAATTGGATATTTGGGAATTTGGGGATTTCTCCCCCCAGAAAGGGAGGTTTCACTTGGATATTTGGGAATTTGGGATTTTTTTCCCACAGGAATGAAGGTTTCAATTGGATATTTGGGAATTTTTCCCATATTTGGGAATTTGGGATTTTTTTCCCACAGGAATGAAGGTTTAAATTGGATAGTTGGGAATTTGGGAACGTTTTCCCACAGGAAGGAAGGTTTCAATCACATATTTGGGGATTTTTTCCAACAGAAATTAAGGTTTCACCTGGATATTTGGGATTTTTTTTATTTTTATTATTTTTTTTTTTATTTGAAAAATCGTGTGGATCCAGAGGAGTGAAAAGTCAGGAAGAAATTGGGAAATCCTTCAATCCCAGCTCCTGGAATTTCCCGTTCCTGACCAGGAATGAGCTCCAAAGGGAAAAAGGGGGGGAAAGTGTGATTTTCCCAGTTTTTTATTGGAGATTTAGCACAGAATTCCCAATCCTTGACACAGAGAGGGCAGCAGGAAAAGGTGGGATGGAGAAAATCCTAAAAGGAGCCACAGGAACGTTCCCAAACTCTGGGAAAACGGGAATGCAGGGCTTGGAAAAATCACATGGAGCCAGGAAGAAATTGGGGAAAAGGGCAAAAAGTGGGATTTTCCGTTATTCTTTGGGATTTATTGAAGAATTCCCAATCCTTGGCAGGGAATGGGAAATTTAACCAGTGGCTGCCACAAATCCCAATTCCTGCTCCGTAAGGATCGGGATTGAGGAATAAACTCTGCCCTGGGATGGAATTCCCAAAGAATTCTGGTGCCCAAGGCCAGGATGGGGAATGGACGGGACAGAAACCCCTCCAAGGCTCCAGGATTTTGTGATAATCCCATAAAAAGCTTCTCCAGGGAATTCCCACGTTCCCGAAGCTGCCGCAGCCCCGGGAATATCGGTTGGGATTTGGGGATCATTCCCAGCTCAGGGAATTCCAGCATTCCCCAAAACGCCGCTCCAGCCCCGAATTCCCGACACGGCGGCGCCCCCTCGTGGCCGATCCGCCAAGTCCACCCGAATTCCCAGAAAAACGAGAAAAATCCCCAAATCTCTCCTGCTTCCAATGGGAAATAACCCAATTAAGAATTCCCAATTAATCCTAGTGAACCCTCCTCATTCCTGGCTTGCAAAAGAAATTCCAGGAATTTGGGAATGCTTGGGAGTTTCTATGGAATTCGCTCTTTTTGATGGGACTTTCCCACTGGAAATGGGATTTTCCTGCTTTAAAAATCCAAAATTTTCCCATGAAAACGGCGTCACCTGGTTTGGGATTGATCAATTAACAGACATTAATAATTATTTGTAATGATTAGCAGAAACGATCCCAATGGATCCCAGAATTCCCGTTAGGAGCGCACGGTTTAAAGGAATTATTGGAATTCTTGATGATGACGTGAATAAAGACACGAAGACAGCGAAGGGAGGCTGGAAAATTTGGGAAAAGGAACAAAATCAGGGAAAACGAGGTTTTTCCATCCTTTTATTGATGAGCTGAGATATTCCCAATTCCGTTTGTTCCCGAGGAATTTGTTCCCAAGAAAAGCAAGCCCGGCAAGTGGATGTTTCAGGGATGTTTATTAGGAATAAACCACGGCATGACGCAGCCACGCCCACTCCTCGGGACGCTCCATGGCCTTGGAATCTCCAGGAAAAACAGGAGAACTCCCCAAAAATCCAGGAATTTTTATTAAAAACCAAGATCTTTATGGAAAAACTGCCAACCTTTAAATTCCAATGGTTTTCCAGAAATCCATGGAATTGCAGCTTGGAAAATCAAGGATTTATTCCCAGATTTTATCCTGAGGGAGAGCTTGAAATTTCATTTTTCCTCCTTTTTTTTGGGAGAAGAAAATCAGATCCTGAATTCCCAGAAAAACACAAATCAATCCCCCCAGCAAAAAAAAAAAAAAAAAAAAAAAAGGGGAATAAAAATTCCATTCCCAACTCCTGGAATCCACAGGGATCCCACAAACAGCACCTGGAATGCTTCAAATCTTCCTCCAAATCCAGGGAATTCAAAATAAACCGGAATTGGAATTTTGGGGTTTAAATAAAACCAATTTTTAGGGGGAGCAAAAAGGCAGCAGAAAATGGAAGTTTTTGTTTCAGCAGAGGAATCCCAAGGGAATTTTGGGATTTGGAATATTTCCAGAATTCCAGAGGAATTTTGGGGTTTTCTTTCCAACAATTGAAGCAAAACTTGAAGGGAGAGGAACCAAATTTGAGGTTTTACCAGAGCAGAATTCCAGGTGAAATTTGGGGCTGGGGAGGGAAATGTTTCCAGAATTCCAGAGGAATTTTGGGAATGGGATTTCGTGGATGAGGTGGGGGAAACATTTCCTAGAGGAATTTGGCGGTTGGGGGGGAAAATATTTCCAGAATTCCAGAGGAATTTGTGTTTTTTTAAAAATAATTGAAGTAAAATTTAAGCAAATGGACCCAAATTTGGGGTTTTACCTCAGCAGATGAATCCCAGAGGAATTTTAGGATTGGGATTTGGGGTTTTTCAGGAATTGAAGGAAAACTTGAAGCAACTGGAACTGAATTTGGGGGTTTACCTCTGCCTCAGCCTCTCTGCAGGAGCTCCTTCGTTATTCCCACTCCAAACCTGGAATTCCTCCCTTTCCAGGTGCTGCTCCCTCATCCCCAGAGCCCCAAATGCTGATTTTTGGGACAATAAAACAAATTTTTGGAACAATAAAACCACTTTTTGGGACACAAAAAAACATTTTTGGGATAAACCCCCCATTTTTGGGATGATAAAACCAATTTTGGGAAAAAAAAATCCATTTTTGGGACACAAACCCCAGTTTTTGGGACACAAACCCCAATTTTTGGGACACAAACCCCAATTTTTGAGACACAAACCCCAATTTTTGAGACACAAACCCCAGTTTTGGGACACAAACCCCAGTTTTGGGACACAAACCCCAATTTTTGAGACACAAACCCCAATTTTGGGACACAAACCCCAGTTTTTGGGACACACTCTCCATGGGGTGGCTGCACTTTTATTGGTTTTTTTTTCCCCACCAGTGGCACCCTTGTGACAAAAATGAAATTTTATCATTTCCCTCCCAAAAGGAAAAACCCCAACGTGAATCCAAGGCTGGATGTGGGAATTCCCTCTAATTCCAAAGTTGGTTTTTCCCTGATAAATCAAACCCTCGGTGATGCTTGTGGGAGTTCTGAGGGAAATTTTGGAATTCTTTCTTTCCCATTTATCAGCACTGAGCAGAACACAAGGATGGCGATTTATTGGGAATAAAATCCCCAAATTTTCTATCAAATCAACCTTCACCCACCCCTAATTCCCAAATCCACGTGGAATCTTTGCTTGGATCCCTTCCCACCTCTTCCCTAAGGAAAACACAAGGGAGATGCAGGAATGGGAGGGGATTTGTAAAAATTGCTCAACGGAGCCAAAATTGGAAGATTTTCCCAATTTCAAAGCTCAGACGGAGAAGAATTTGATAAATCAAAGCACTGAAAATGAAACATCTCAACCCTGGAAGGGAAAATCCCCAAATTTCCTGAATTCAAAACTGAATGGAAGAACCAAAGCAACAAAATGCAGGGGCTCCCCAACAACGCTTCGACTCCTCAACCCAAAATCCCACATCAACCCAAGAAGGGCAAAACTCCCAAATTCCCTCAATTCAAAACTCAATGGAATAAGAATTTACTGAGGATTTTTCAATTGTGAAACCACAGATGGAAGAGAACCCTACAAACCAAAGTGGGTCACAACAACGCTTTGTCTCCTCAACCCAAAACCCCACCTTAACCCAGGAAGGGAAAAACCATGAATTTCCTAAATGTAAAACTCAATGGAATAAGAATTTACTGCAGATTTTCCAATTTTGAAACCACAGATGGAGAAGAACTCTACAAACCAAAGCAATAAAATGCAGTGGCTCCCCAACAATGCTTCGACTCCTCAACCCAAATCCCCAGCTCAACCTGGGAAGGGCAAAACTCCCAAATTTCCTGAATTCAAAACTCAGTGGAAAACTTTACTGAAGATTTTTCAAATTTAGAACCACAGATGGAGGAGAACTCTACAAACCAAAGGGGCTCCCCAAAAATGCTTTGACCTCTCAGTGAGACGTAAAACCTGCTTAACCCAAACCCCCACCACAAGCCAGGAAGGGAAAACCCCCAAATTTCCTCAATTCAAAACTCAATGGAATAAGAATTTACGGAAGATTTTCCAAATTTAGAACCACAAATGTAGGAAAACTCTACAAACCAAAGTGGGCCACAACAACCCTTTGACTCCTCAACCCAAATCCCACCTCAGCCCAGGAAGGGCAAAACCCCCAAATTTTCCAAATTAAAAACTCAATGGAATAAGAATTTACAGAAGATTTTCCAAATTTAGAACCACAGATGGAGGAGAACTCTACAAACCAAAGGGACTCCCCAGCAACACTTTGACTCCTCAACCCAAAACCCCACCACAACCCAAGAAGGACAAAACCCCCAAATTTCCTGAATTAAAAACTCAATGGAATAAGAATTTACTGCAGATTTTTCAATTTTGAAACCACAGATGGAGAAGAACTCTACAAACCAAAGCAACAAAATGCAGTGGCTCCCCAACAACGCTTCGACTCCTCAACCCAAATCCCCAGCTCAACCCGGCAAGGCCGAAAGCCCCAAACGTTGCCCCCGCCGAGTCCCGCCGAGCCCAGACCCCCCTGGAATTTGGTCCTGGGGACGCCCTCACTCCTGGGCTATGCTCCTCAGCACGTACTTGACTGTGTAGGCGAAGGCGGCGAAGCCCACGATGACAAACAAGTTCGCCAGGGCTCCCCCCAAGAGTCCGTGGTTCCTGTGGGGCTGCTGCAGCGCTGCGCCGCGCCCGGGGCCTGCCGGCTGCCCGGCCAGCAGCGCGTGCCCGTGGTGGCCCAGGTGCGCGTCCCCGTCCGGCACCACGTCCGGCAGCGGCAGCGAGGGAGGCCGGGAGCTCAGCTCCTCCTGGGCTTTCTGCTTCTGCTTCATCTCCTGCGGAGGGGAGGAGAAAACTCGCTGCCAAAGCGGTTCGGGGATTTTGGGGTGGAGTTCCTGCATGGGAAAGTGGAGTTTGGGGTGGTTTGGGGGTTGAGTTCCTGTATGGCAAAGTGGAGTTTGGGGTTTTTGGGTTGAGTTCCTGCATGGGAAAGTGGAGTTTGGGGGTTTTTGGGTTGAGTTCCTGCACAGGAAAGTGGAGTTTGGGTGATTCGGGGGTTTTTGGTTGACTTCCTGCATGGGAAAATGGATTTTTGGGGTGATCTGGGGCTTTTTCGGTTGAGTTCCTGCGTGAGAAAGTGAAAACTGAATGGGAATGTGAATTTGTGGTGATTTGGGGGCTTTTTGTTTGAGTTCCTCCATAGGAAAGTGGAGTTTGGGGTGATTTGGGGGCTTTTTTTTGGCTGATTTCCTGCAGAAGGGAGGAGAAAATTTGATGGGAAAAATGGAGTTTTTGGTAATCTGGGTTTTTTTTTTGTTGTTTGATTTCCTGCTTGGGAAAGTGAAAATCGAATGGGAAAGCAGAAATTGTGGTGATTTGGGGGTTTTTGTTTGATTTCCTGCATGGGAAAGTGAATTTGTGATGATTTGGGGGCTTTTGTTTGCAGAGCCAAAAAGAAAATAGAATGGAAGAGAAAATGGGGTGAATTGAGTGCTTTTCCTCCATGGGGGAACAGAAAATTCAATGGAATTTGTGGTGATTTGGGGCCTTTCATTTGATTTCCTGGAAAAGGGGAGGAGAAAATTCATTGGGAAAATGAACTTGTGGTGATTTGGGTTTTTTTTTTTTTGATTTCCTACAGAAGGAAAGAGAAAATTCAGTGGAAAAGTAGAAGTTGGGACAATTTGGGGGCTTTTATTTCCTGAAAAGGGGAAGAGGATGGAACGGTGAGAAGGGAAAATGGGTCCTAAATCAGAATTCCTTCAGGAACATGAATTAAAGCTGAAATCCCACACAGCTCATGGAGAAGAAAAAACTGGAAAGTCTTTTTTCCCACTCTCCTGCAGTCTCTACGCTGTGTGAAAGAATTAAAACCTTTGAAAAGGTTTCCAAAATGAACAAATCAACTCCAGACTGGGAAAATCCTGACCAGGAGAGGCTGAAGAAGCCCAGAAAAGGGGATTCTTGGTAGGAATAATAAACAATGAATATTTCCTTACCTCCACCACTTCAGGGAAGAGCTCACAGAAGACTTTATCTTTTAAATTAAATGCTAAGCTCTGTGCAGCCAGCTGCCTTTTCTGGGGAGAAAAACCACATTTCTCAGCAATTTCAAGAAAATTCAATTCATCTCTTCAAATTCCACACCTGATTTCCCACCAGAACAGTGCAAACCTCACACCAAGGAGTTTTAACACATCAAACATCAAATCTGTGAGCGTTAGTCACTAAAACTGAGGTTTATAGGCAAAAATTCTGATAATTTTTGATCCTGTGGGATCAAGGACAAGGAAAAATGGCTGAAAAAAGGATCCAAATCCCAACCAGGTTTTATCCCTGAGATCTCCCATACTCCCAAAGCTTCCCAAGTGCTTTGTAACACCTCAATCATCAAATCTGTGAGTATTTTTCACTAAAATTGAGGTTTATAGGAAAAAATTGTTAGTTTTTGATCCTGTGGGATCAGGGTTCTGGGGTAAAGGCTGGGATCTGTGATCTCCCAGATTCCCAAAGCTTCCCAAATACTCTGTAACACCTCACACATCAAATTTGTGAGTGTTATTGACTAGAAGAGATGGGTTTAGATAGAAATTCCAGGAATTTTTGATCCTGAAAAGGATTCAAATCCTAACCAGGCTTTATCCCTGAGATCTCCCAGATTCCCAACGCTTCCCAAATTCACAAAGCTTCCCAAATGGTCTGTAACACCTCCCCACATCACATTTGTGAGTGTTATTTACTACAGCTGATATTTGTTGATCCTGTGGGATCAAGGACAAGGAAAAATGGCTTGAAAAAGGATCCAAATCCCAACCAGGCTTCACCCCTGAGCTCTCCCAGATTCCCAAGGGAACAGCCGTGGCTCTGGAACTCACGGTGAACTCGGAGGTCTCGATGCTGCCCAGGGTGGGCCCCTTCTCCACCATGAAGCTGAGCAGCCCTGTCAGGATGGTGGACACCGACCAGGCCGGGTTCCAGGTGTCCGGGTGGAAATCCGTGATGGACAGACACAACCTTCCAAAAAAACACAGCCCGGGAACAGGGATTTGGGATGGAACAGAGCTGCAGCAGGAATGGCTGGAATGTTGGGAAGGAGTCCTCACCTGGTGTTGCACTTGAACCTTCCATTGGGGGTGATCATATAAATACTGGGAGGTTTGAAAGGGAATTCTCGAGGGAATATTAATTTTCCGTGGTAATATCCACCTGCAGCACAGAGAGAGCAGCTGGGCTGGGCAGCAGGTCCTGAGCGCCCCAAAAGGGCTGAAACCAATTCTACTGCATAAATAATTCCCACCCCAGATCCCCTGCTTTATTCCTTCCCCTCGACTTCCCAAAATGGGTGAAACCAGTTCTACTGCACAAATAATTCCCACCCCAGATCCCCTGCTTTATTCCTTCTCCTCAGCTTCTCAAAAAAGGGTGAAATAAATTGTATTGCATAAATAATTCCCATCCCAATCCAATCCCCATCCCAATTCTCCTGCTTTATTACTTCTCAACTTCCCCCCAAAAATGGGTGAAATAATTCTATTTCATAAATAATTCCCATCCCAATTTCCATCCCCAATTCCAATTCCCATCCCCAATTTCAATCCCCACCCCAATTCCTCTTTTTTCCTTCTCCCAACTTCCCAAAAAAAGTGAAATAAATTGTATTGCATAAATAATTTCCATCCCAATTCCAATCCCAAATTCCAATCCCCACCCCAATTCCTCTGCTTTATTCCTTCTCCTCAACATCCCCAAAATGGGTGAAATCAATTCTATTGTATAAATAATTCCCATCCCAATTCCAATCCCCAATTCCCCTGCTTTATTCCTTCTCCTAAACTTCCCAAAAATGGGTGAAATCAATTCTATTTAATAAATAATTCGCATTCCAATTTCCATCCCCAATTCCAATTCCCATCCCCAATTCTCCTGCTTTATTCCTTCTCCTAAACTTCCCCATAATAATGGGTGAAATAAATTCTATTTCATAAATAATGCCCACCCCAACTCCTCTGCTTTATTTCTTCTAAACTACAAAAAAATGGGTTAAACAAATTCTATTTAATAAATAATTCCCATCCCCAGCCCAAATTCCCGATTTATTTCTTCTAAGCTACCCCAAAATGAGTTAAATAAATTTTATTTAATAAATATGTATTAAATTATATTTAATAAATAATTCCTATCCCAAATCTCCATCCCAATTCCCCTGCTTTATTCCTTCTCCTAAACTACCGCAAAAAGGGGTGAAGTAAATTTTAATCTCAGCTCACTGAGGACATTTCTGTTGTAAAAACATGAATTTTTGAAATTATTTGTCAAAAATTGGAGAACATTTGCTGTAAACCATTCTGAAATTTACTATGATTTGCCTTCAGTTTAATCTGAATTTTAATTGATTAAAGCCCTTGATAAAAATGATTGACAACAGCATCCCTATTTCTTCATCTCTCCCTCCCAGTTTTTGGATGGTTTAGTGGGAGGTTTCAGTGGGATTATTTTGGCTTTTCCCAGCCCCTGGAATTCCTGAGTTTCCACCCAAACCCCACAGGCAGGGATTTACCTTCATAGGGGGTCAGCTCTGGCCCTCGCACCACGTAGTGCCTGGAAAAAGGGGAATGGAACACTGGGAAACCACAAATATCCCAAAAATCAGCATCAGCCTCGGCCTTGGCTCCCTCCCCCTGCCCAGAGCCAGGAGAGACAGGACAGCCTGGGAAAGTGTGCCCTGTCCAGGGGGAAACAACCCAGCCCCGTTCCCAGGGGAAACAACCCAGCCCCATTCCCAGGGGAAACAATGAGGCCCTGTTCCCAGGGGAAACAACCCAGCCCCATTCCCGGCCCCAGTCTCATTCCTGGGGGGAAACACAACCCAGCCCCAGTTCTCACCCCAATTCCAATTCCCACCCCGATTCCCATCCCCACTCCCACCCCAAATCCCATCCCAATTCCAATTCCCAGCCCAATCCTCCATCTCCAACTCCCATCCCAATTCTCTATCCCCAATTTCCCAAATTCCAACCCTGATTCCCATCCCCAACTCACATTCCCTCCCCAATTCCCATCGTTATCCCCACTCCAATCTCGAATTCCCATCCCAATTTCCTATCTCCAATTCCCCATTTCCAACTCTCCCCATCCCCAATTCCAATGACCACTCTCATCCCCAATTTCCCAATCCCAGTTCCCCATACCCCCTCCAATCCCCATCCCCATACATCCTCCAATCCCCATTCCAGTTCCCCAATCCCAATCCTCCATCCCCAATCCCCGTTCCCCAATCCCAATCCTCCATCCCCAATCCCAGTTCCCCATCCCCAATCCCCAATCCCAGTTTCCCATTCCCCAGTTCCCAATCCCAGTTCCCCATCCCCAGTTTCCCAATCCCAATCCCAGTTCCCAATCCCAGTTCCCCAATCCCAATCCCAGTTTCCAATCCCAGTTCCCCATTCCCCAGTTCCCAATCCCAGTTTCCCAATCCCAATCCCCAATCCCAGTTCCCAGCCTCTCCATCCGCACCATTCCAGGATGTTGGAGGGGAGGGGCTCTGCACAGATGTAAGGCACGGGATCCTTTTTGATCCTCAGGTAATCCTGCTTCAGCCTCTGCGTCGCCGTCGTTGGGGCTCTCTTATTGCTGGCGTTGCTCATCTAATTAACAGCAATTCGTTAATTAATTAATGCAAACAATCAGCCACACCAAACCTTTCTCCAGGGTCACTGTTCTTGTATTATTATATTATAATAACATAAAATTTATAAATACAATACTACACACAGTATATATATATTATAACTAATAATAGCCCTAGAAATAATATATATATGTTAAACATTATATATCCCTAGAGCTAATAATATATACAATATATGGTATATACTATATATCCTATACATATTTAATACAATATTGTAATATTATACATAAATTATAAATATAAAATAATGTACATAATACATAAAAAGTTATGTACACTATATATAAATATATAGTATAATACATTACTCATTATAAAATCCACTTTATGGGTTGTATTTGAAGCGATAATGATTTGGGTTTTTAAGCAGCAGGAATCATGGAAAATCTTCATAATATAATCTAATTAACAACAATTAATTAATGCAATTAACCACATAGCTTCATAAAACCTTTCTGCAGGTTTTTAGACAATCCACCTTATGGGCTGTATCTGAGATAGAAATTCAATTATTTCGGTTTTAAGGAGCAGGAATCATGGAAAATCTTCATAACATAATTTAATTAACAACAATTAATGCAATTAATCAACTACAGAGCTTCATAGACTCTTTCTCCAGGTTTTTATAAAATCCACTTTAGGGGTTGTATTTGAGATTGAAATTCAGTGATTTGGGTTTTTAAGGAGAAAAAAAATCATCATAATGAAATCCCAAGGAATGTCTGAGCTGGGGGATCCTCGGGATCCCTTCCACCTTGGGATATTTTATTCCATTCCTTTCTATCCTAAAGCTTTTTTTGAGTGAATAAATATAGATTTAGTCTGTTTTAAATTCAATTCATCTGCTGTTTTTCTTGTTTTTACACTCCCAGTGCCCTGAAATAAAGAACAAACAGGAACCTGACTTGGGAGCGAAATATTTGGAATTTCTGGTTATTCTCTTTGAAATATTCTTTTGAAAGATCTGTTTTGAAAGATCTGTTCTTTTGGAATAAAACCTCATCCAAAAGGAGCCAGATCAGGGAGGAAGGAGGAAATTCCCTGCTGAAATTCCGGGACAAAGGAAGAACTCACCTATACAACACACAGCAATTAACAGATGCCAATTAATTACCTTTCCCTCCATGGGTTTAGGGAATTCTTTGATTTTACATAAGGAAATTTGAGCAGAACTAAATAAAAATATAAAGCAGTATCTCTGATACAATACTAAAATAACAATAATACAATACTTAAAATAAATTAAATAAATTTTAAAAATGAAAATAAAATTAAATAAATAAAATTATATTAAATTCCTGTAGCCCTCTCTATTCCTTTATTGCAAATAGGTAAAACTTACTTAAAAATTAATTGTCTAACAATTTAATAAACAGTTAATTCAAAAGAAACAATTTAACTCATGAGTAGCACTTATATGTGGTCAAATATTCAACCTCAGAATAAATCTGTTCAACCTGAATTTTGCCAGAATTGCTCTAACTTATTGATTTTAACAACATTTTAACTTTGAAGTCAGTCTTGAAATCATAACATTAAGGGTTTTTTTTTCTCTTTAAAAAAAATACCAGCTTTGACTTTAAAATAAAAAGTTTTTATTTAAGCTCAATTCTTTGTCTATTCCATAGCCAGCCTCACCACGGGCAGCACAAAAAACGGGAATATTTGAAATATTGGGATTTTTACACACCTGAAAGAAGGAAAATAAAGGAATACAAACGAAAATCCCGAATTCCCACCTGAATAAGGACACGAGGGAGGAGAAGTGAGGGAGAACAGGAGGACAGAGTGGGAGGGAGGGGATGGAGGGAGTGCAAGGGAGAGGGAAAGGGGGGAAAAGGGCAGAAAAAGAGAGGAAAAG